GACATCGTGGGAAAGCTGCCTGAGGCACCCGGACAAAAAGTCGTCTACATGTTGGCAATGACTGACTACTTCTCAAAGTGGATCGAAGCAGAACCTTTCTGATAAATCCGCGACACCCAGGTGATATCTTTTATTAAAAGAAATATATTAAGCAGATTTGGCATCCCGTTAGAAATTGTCTGCGACAACGGGTCACAATTCACCAGCATCAAAACCAGACGATTCTGTGAGAAGTATAATATCAAACTGGAGATGTCAACACCACACTATCCACAATCAAACGGACAAGCTGAGTCAAATAACAAGATCATCATCTCAAATTTAAAGAAACGGCTTGAGAAAGCGCAAGGAAAATGGGCCGACGAGTTACCACTTATATTGTGGGCAGACCTGACAACACCAAAAAATGCCATAGGACAAACACCTTTTTCATTGGTGTACGGATGTGAAGCTGTCATTCCAGTCGAAGTCGAGGTGCCAACATCTAGATACAGACTTATCACACAAGAAGCAAACAACGTGGAACTGGTTCATGATCTTGACACTATTGACGAATTAAGGGAAAGAGCTAAAGTACAAATGGCAGCTTATCAACAAAGGGTAGCAAAAAGCTACAACAAGGATGTCCGAGCTAAAACATTCAGGAAAGGTGATTGGGTACTCAGAAATTCCTTCGGCAGTGAAGCAAGAGGAAAGTTTAGTCCCAACTGGGAAGGCCCATATCAGATTACAGATGTCGTCGGGCAGGGGGCATACCGGCTGAAGTCCATTGACGGTAAGCAAGTATCGAGGAGCTGGAATGTGGTACACTTGAAGCCTTTTCATTTCTAACGTAATTATTCACATAAGTATTCATCCTATATTTTATTTTGACTCCCTTACTAACTTGACCGTCAGAGGGCCGTTGGCCTCGAGCCAACGGCCAAAGAAGTTTCTGACTAAGCTACAGATTGACAACATCAAGCTAACTCCCGGATGACGACATCATACAAACTTTTGGATAACGACATCAGGTCAACACAATTAAGGTATATGACAACAATTTGCCCTTTCCTCATTTCAATATTATCTTAATCTACTCGCTCACTTTGACAAATAAAAGCGCATCTGATTCCTTTTGAGACATTAAATCAAAATAATACATATCTACTCCACAATTGTTTTAAAGTTGTCAAACTATTTTCTCTTTAGGTCCTGACGACATGATTAAATGCAGGCTTAAGCGTAAGAACAACACTAATGTCTGAAGACATCGATCAACCCCTATAAGGTTTTCATCACAATCCTTAATTACATCACTAAGGGTTATCAAGGATTGCATGGACTCGTCATATGAAAAATATGAGTACCAAGTCCATACAGCTTGCACGTTTTGGCCAAAACAGACAGCGTACATTATTACATTATACATACTGACAACATCAAAAAGTCAGACAAACACAAAACAACTGACAGACAAGGTCACACATCACGAATGCTGACAACATCAAGGTCAGACAAAAACTGACGACATTAAGAAAGTCAGGTAAACATAAAAACGACAACGAATTAAGCATAAAATGCAAATAATGACATCAGAAGTGAAGAACTACGACAACAGTTTACACATGAAAGGCAAAATAATGCATACATAAGTGTTCCACACAAAGCACAGCGGCAAAATATACAAGTTCTGGATAAACCACCAGATACTTGCGTAAGCAATCAAATATTCAAACCACCGAACCACCAGGAAAATTCCTGGGCGATGTGGTTGAGGAAGAAACAAAACGGAGCGCAGTGTTTTTAAACAAAAGACAGTAAACGTCAAAGCAAGTTCATGATAATTTGGAAGGACCGGAATGAGCTGCAGTGTTGTCGGGGCCTAGATCAAACCCGTCATCACCTACGGGGGGCTCAGCCTCTTCAAAATACAACGCCTAGGTGTCCAAATCATCTTGAGGGGTCCACTTGTCCGCTCCACCTGCAAGAAACTCACTCATAAGACCCTTCTTTGTCTGCCAAGCATAATACGTAGCTGCTGCAACAATGCTGCAACAAGATCTTTCCTTTTTTTCCTCCCATACTCTTCCAGAGCCGCAATCCGAGCATCTTTAGCTTTAATTTCACCTTTGAGCCCCCGTATCTCTCCATTCAATTTGTACAACTTGGTATCCATGTCTAACTTCAGCTGAGCCATCTCAGACATCTTCTTTTTCGTAAGTTCTTCATTAGCTTTTGACTCTGCGAGAGATTTCTCTAAGGCAAGGAGACGGTCCGCTGCAACCAAGTTAGCTTGGATGCCCTGCAGAAACAATGTGTCAGGATGAATCATTAAACATGGGGAGTCAACAATTAATACTGACCTGAAAGGCAAGAGCTGATGATGCACAAAGCATGTCCACCGAGGAAAAACCAGAAAAGATGCTGATGGCAGAGGGAAGAAGCAACTGAGAGATTTCATTCTTCATCTTCAAGGCATTTTCCAAGCGACAGAAGTCGTCGGAGAAATCAAGCTTCATCTGGACAGGGCCTAGAATCGCGAGGCAACACAGGTGGTGGCAATGAGCATGTCACAGAGGCATTCGCTTTGACAATAGAAGAACTTGGGGGCATCAGCTTCCTCTTTTTAGACGCCAGGTTGGCAGAGTCTAGTGGATTCAGCGGCCTGCGGGTACTTGTGGAAGAGGACGCCGCGGGTACAACGAGCTTGACAACAGATAAAGGAGAACTGACAACTACCACAAATTGGGGGTCAGAAGGACAAAATTCTTGCACATCCGGAATACTACTTTCATCATCAACACTAACAACTTCATCATCTCTTTCAGAGCCTTCAACTGAGGCGGGGGAACCATCTATGGATATTTGAGAAGATTTAGATATACTTTTAATAGGTCTACGAAAGCTAAATCAAAAGCGACGAAGGAAATCAAGTACCTTTGAGTTCAGTTACCAAGGAGGAAAACACAAGTTCTTCAAGTTTCAATGACAGGAGTTGGTTTGTTCTTTCTTCCGCGTTTGGTCCAAAATCTAAAGGAATTGTCTTTTGCTTTTTGCTAAGGCACAGAATCAACGCGAGTAAGGATAAATGAGAATGAATTTGAGAAACAACAATATTGATGAGAACAGACCTGCGATTCTCCATTTGTCCATCAGGAAGGCACCATTTGCTCCAAGCGAAGACTTCTCCACGAAGAAGAACTTAGTCAACCATCCCCTGTCATTAGCACCACTGATTTCTTGAATCAATGGTTCTCTCTCATTCTTGAGCGTCAATATGAACCTACCTTTTCCGGAGGTTCGCAGATAATACGAAAAACCCAAGTCCTCGGCAGAGAACTCCAAAGCGTGTTTCTCTTTCAAGACCTCTAAGGAACGAATTAACCGCCATGTTTGGGGGGTAATTTGGGCTGGGGACACTTGCATGATGTTCAATACACCAGAAACAAATTCGGAGAAAGGAAATTTCATGCCCTATTTCTTGAATGAGTATTGAAAGAAACTCACCCAGTTTTGCCTGAACAAGTCAACTCTCTCGGGTCGCACCGGGAAGTGAACCCTCGCCGGGGGAGAGAAACCATACATAGACATAATTTCTTCTTTCTCGGGTTCCCGCAAATCACATGCCTGGGAACTCTTGGCGTCGAGAAGGTTCCGACTGGCGAAAACAATCAGCTCCATTGAGGAGAAGGTGAACAGGAAGAAGGTGGTTGGAGACTTGGTTAGCGGAAGATGGGTGTTCAAGAATATGGTGGAGAAAGTTCAAAAAGACGAAGGAGTCTAATCGAGTAGTTTCCTCGAGTTATACGAAAGTTGGCATCGGAAAGGACATCTTGAAACTTGTGGATTCATGATGACAATTCGCCGATTTGCGTGTCGCTCTATTATCATCATGAATGGGGGCATTGTTGGACCCGGGATTTATCTTGGTGTTGGGCCTTAGTTTGGGTCAGCCCGGGTTGTGAAGCCCAACAGCATTGCGTGGAAGTCCATCAATGCGGACGAATGACCTCCAGAATTGGTCAAGATAAGAACAAGTTCAAAAATAAAAAATCAGTTACAAACTTGGGGAGGAGGCCCCTATTATTTCGGATAGGCAGTACACCGACGAGCCGAGTAATTAGCTCCAATACGGATAGCTTGAGAGTTCAAATATATATACACCATCGAGCAACTTAAGTCTCCAATCCTCAAAGTCTTACTTCCCAAGTCTCCCGACTCGCTCTGTTATACCTAACTTAAAAATATACTTGGTAAATATTGCTCCTCTAATCCCCAATATTTCCTTAATTTTAATCCGGCCATCCATAAAGGTTTTAAAGATACCAAACTGGTTATCATGTTCTATCGATCATCTGTTTAAGTGGAAAAGAAAATCAAGTTTCAATTCAATCGAAATCCTTAAATATTTAGAGTATATTTGTGATGACTGCAGAATCTGATCGAGGGCACTCTGGCGCTACTAGGGAACTCGGGAAAATGGCTGCGGCCAGTGTGGTAGCAGTGTTCCATTAGGACGACTCATACTATCGTATATCCGATTCAACTCTCTCTCACTTTTCCTTGAGAGGAATGCCGACATCTTTCGCCTTCCAGATGCGAGTTGATAGTAGGAGTTAATTATGGTGGATGCTCCAATAATGGTCGCAGCCGGTTGAGATCCACCTACCTTGCGATGATGTCTCCATCGGAAAATGACTTGAATTGCCGATGCAACAACATCTTGTCTTGTAGAAAATAACATATGCAGCTCTTACTCTCTAAATTTTCGTTAATCAGGCAATAAGAATGATGCAATAAAGGTAGATTCTATGGTATACCATATCTTTGTCCAAATGAACCAATAAGAATGATACAGTTGAATTATTTAAATCTAAATTAAAAAACATATAATGATTTGGATAAATCAAATGCATGATAGGTACGGTATACCATTTTTTTAAATGGGTACCGGAGTTATCACCTTGTTTTTATTATTTTGGGCCAGTCAGCAAGTCTAGGAGGGTTTCTAATGTAAACGGGAGACTACGTCCATTGGAGGGGGAATACGTAAAGAATGTCTAATGTCTAAACGGGAGACTAAAATGATAATAGACATTTTGGATAGTTAAAGTGCGACTTTAGATGGCGGGGTGGGACCCCACTGTCCACCCTTCTCTTCTTTCTTTCTTTCTTATGCATGGATTTCGATTACCATTCCTTGTGCGCTGACTTCTCTCGCTCCCTCTCCTTGCACACACATTTCTACAAACCCTAATCTCTGACTGTGGAGGGAGGAGAGCTAACGATTCCACCATTTCCACTTCTCTTTACTCCATCAGGTACTGCCGCACTCCCATTTTATCTCTTGATTGATGCTTACTGTTTTTTCTTTGCTTTAAGTTTGCCCTTTGTGTTCCACTCTACTGGGTCTTCTTTTATTTGGTTTTTCCAATTATTGCTCAATTTGTGTTCCACATTTGCCTCTCTTACTAATGTACTTGCCTTTTTGTGGTGAAAATTTAACCATGTATTGGTTTTTATGTACTCATCTGATACCTAGACTTAGATTACTACAAGTGTTCGGTTGATTTGTTTAGATATGGATCTTCTCAGGATTTTCATGGGAGACCTGACTTTATACATTCAATTAATTCTTCCAAATAATGATTTTGTTATTTTCCATCTCTTAGTGTACTTTTCCTTTCTGTTACTCTATTGATCATACTTTGTACTTCTTTTGGGGCTTGATTCTGAACTTGGATATATAGATTAAGGGGCCATTTAATGATCTCTTGAATTGCTAAATTGGCTGAACTAGATTACTACAACTGTTTGGTTGAAATAGTCCAGGTTGAGTGTGTGCTTTCCCTATTATAATACTTCCTCCGTTCGGTTATAAGTGCAACATGCACTTGGGCACAAAGATTAAGAGACCGTGTAAAGGTGCAAGACTTGACTATTTTACCCTTCTAAATAGCAGAGTAGCCGACACACAAACACAGTGCTTACAGTAAACAAAAGTGGATGAATGATTACAGCCAAGAAATAAAACAGGCTCTGGGCACTGTTCACTTTCGGAAAACCCCATTTGAATCTTGCCTAAACTCCGGCAAGCGACTCTATCCTCTTTCTCCGGCGTGAAGCCTAGCTCAGCACTCTCTCGTTCGCTTCTGCCAATTGTCATCCCACATGAGCAATGGACACCGCAGCAGTCGGCCGCCGCCTAGAAGCCACCATTACCGTCGTGTCTCAGCTTGTGGGGAGTAACTGGAGCAAAATTGGTTTAATAGTTGTCCCTATCTTCCGGCCATCATTGAAATACAAATTAGAAGAAAGAAAAATAAATGACGAAGATGATAAGAAAGAAATGGAGAATTGTTGAGTCGGTGAACAGATTCGAAAGTGCAAGGAACTAAAAAGAAGAATGGTGTAGTGGGTGGGTGAGTGGAGAAGTTAAAGAAAAAGTCAGAAACGAAAGAGGAACGGTTGTAAATAATGAAGGGTATAAAAGTCCATTGGCTTTGTATTTCTTTCCCAAAATAGAAATGTTGCACTTAATTTGAAACTGCCGAAAATGGAAAGTGTTGCACTTATTAAAAAACGGAGGAAGTAATAAGTTTCTGCTGAAGAAGTAAGCCTTGAGCTGTTATATTCAATGACAACTAAACTCAGCTAACCAGGTCGGGTCGTGATGGTGGGGATTCGGTGAAATATAAAAGCAAAAAATATTAATCCTTACAACTCTGTCATGAACGTAAAAAAATTGTTAGACACTTGATTTTCAGGATGATCATCTCAGCATACCAAACACCGTTTTTAATTTTATGTGCGCATTTAAAATGGAATATCAAAACCATTCTGTTAACTTTCCCATGTTTGGCAAGTCCATTAGAGCTTCCTTAGGAATCCTCATAACATTTTTCACTACACAGCCTACACTATATGAAGGGAATAGTGATTACCAAATGTATTTTAACCCTAACATGCCAAGTGGAGCCTTGCTTTTGCTTTTGCTTTTGTTTATGTTTGTTCCTTTGGTTTCTATATGTGATCGAATTCTGCACTACACATATCACAACTTTGCACTACATTTGTTTTGTACAGGGTTTGCATGTAGTATATAAGTGTGATGCAAGTTTTACATTTTGAGAATCTAATTGAGATGATTTAGGCTCCATTTAACATGAACGGGTTGCATGATCCTATAATGGTTAGTGCTGTGCCTCAGTGCCTGCCAACTCGATGGTTCGGGCCAGCCTGTTTGGGCCCATTTGGAAATCGGTGCACCCCTTCTATTTTACATCCCTGCTTGGGTGTGTGTTGAAGATCCCACATTGGTTGTTTACTAGAATTAACTCGAATATGTATGCATATATGTGTGTGTGTGGTAAATCTCACTTTCTGCTTGTCCTTTGGGGGTGAGTTAGATGAATTTAACATCATTGATGTATCTATTGGGTTTTGAATTTCTTGAGAAAATGAGAAGTGCATTATTAATGAAGAAGTTGGTGCTATGTTACATGTTGACTTGACAGTTCTTGTGTGGGTGATTTTGTGTGTAGCTATTCAATGGGAGGCGTGAATTCTAAAGTCGAAGAAGATAAAGCCTTACAACTTTGTGATGAACGGAAGAAGATTGTTAGTGAAGCAGTTGATGGCAGATGCTTATTAGCAGCCAATCACACTGCTTATTTAGAGGCGTTGAAAACCACAGGAATCAATTTTAGAAAGTTTGTTGAATTGGACACTACATTTGAAACTTCTCCCGTTCCTTTAGAAACCCCGGGAGGTGCTGAGTCAGATGATGAATTTAATTTGACTAGTTTGCCTCCGCTCAGGCGTCTATCCTCGAGAATTGTTAACGGGGTGAAACAGGCAGCAAGAGAAAGCACTGTTGAAACTATGGTTGGCCAGAAAGACCTCTTTTCCAGCATAAAAGATATTGAGTGCCTCTTCATTCAAGCTGCAGACTCAGGAAGAGAAGTTCCTCAGATGCTGGAAGCAAATGAATTCCATTTCCACCCAATTCTATCCCCTGGAGATGGTACTTATTTATACAGCTCTGCTTTCTGCAGTGCTAATCATAAGTTATACTTCATCCATTCTCTTCCAACAGTTGTTTTAGATGTTTGCATACACATACTAACAAAGTATTGAATATATTTCTAAATTGAAGGTAAATATTCTAATATAGGCAGAACACCCCTACTGAAGTTTTAAAAAATTATGTAACATTTATGGATGGAGAAGAGTACAACAACATCCAAGCCTTATTCCCAAAAGATTTTGGGGTCGGCTAACATGAATCAATTTTGGAGTGGAGAAGAGTAATGGTGGAAAATAGGCAATTTATGCTCTCTCAATATTTTAAAGCCGCAATATTTGAGAACAATGATTTGGCTTTGAAGGGGTAGCTAATAAATATATTCATGCACATTAGTAATTGAATGTATCACCAGATAGATATGGCCGCATTTAAAAAAAATACATTACTATGAATCCTTCTATGACATGGTCGCAATTCCACCTTTTTACTGCCTTGTGGTTTTCTCATAATGTATTGGGTTCAAGCTCTTTTAACCATTTACTGAGAGGTTTATTAAATAAGTTCCTTAAACTTTGTTTCCATTGTGGTGAAGATCTCCATGTGCCAAAAAGGTAGGCACCTTTGTCATTCTGACACTTACACCACTTCTTTGTGCTTATACCTAAAAATGGTACACCACCAGCAGGTCTCTTCAGTAGATAAATGGATTTTTTGGGGATACATCTATTGACGGTTATAAATAAATGGATTAAATACGCTATTCGGTAAACCAATAAAGTGGGATTTTGTAGATAGTCTACTTGTTACATACTCAATCCTTTTCATTGGGGTTACTTTACAATGATATAGCTCTTCCGTTCTCAAATAACTGTCGGAAAAGTTATGGGTTATAAGGTGATAATTGATTAATTTTGTCTTAAGTTGACAATCATTACCCAATTGATTTTGATTAAGCTTTAAAACAATATGAGAGGACAACGTAATGCCTTTACTATGGTTTAATTTAAGGGGTTGCTAAATGATCACTTATATATGTACGAAATACCTTTGAAAATGAATGGAGTATACTAATACCTCACTTGTTCCTTTAATTCTCTTTTTTTTTTCAGAACCTGCTCAAACTTCTGTTAAGTATCTGACATGGCATGGGACCATGTCATCGCCTTCTTCTTCACTGAGGGTCCCACATGATGTGAACTCAACATATATAGAAAATTCCTCCAATCAAGATGTTGATGACTTTTGTATGAAACCGGGTAGTCATGCATTGACCTTAGATCGGCTGTTTGCTTGGGAAAAGAAACTCTATGATGAAGTTCAGGTATGTGTTTGGTCTTATGTATGCTGAGGTACACTTCTTGACTTGTTTGTCTGCATATGAGGTGCATTAGTGCATATATGAGAAAAGACAAAAAGCTCAGTGAGACTGATAATACTTTGTAGCGCTATATGTAAACCTTTTCAATTGACAATGACAAAAGATTAAAGAGAGTCTGAGTTTATAAGTTCTTGCACTACAATAGCTAATAAATTGGAGTCAATCTTTTAGTATGGCTTGATCTCAATTAAGTGACTCCAAATCATTATGATATTTTTGACTTCTAAATTGTTTTTTTTGTTTCAGGGATGTGCAATGGTGAGACGTGTATATGATGAAAGGTGTAAGGTGCTCAGAGAGCTAGAGTCAAGGGGAGAAAGTTCCGGAAGGATTGATAACGTGCGAGCTGTGGTGAAGGATCTGCACTCCAGCCTTGGGGTTGCCATTGCCAGAATAAACTCCGTCTCTAGGACAATTGAGAACTTGAGAGACAATGAACTTCAACCTCAGCTTGAGGGGCTGATCCAAGGGTTTGCCTCCTCTTATCACTTTATGTACGGAGTATTTTACAAAATCGTTAGGTCTATATTTGCAGCCTTAAGATGGTAGGGAAGTGAACAAGAAAATGTTTAAAGGTAAACGTTTTTTCAAATGTTTTCTTTGACCTTAGAAAATACTGAGAATAACCTTTCAACTTTACATGGATGCTTACTTTTCATGATATTACGTGTTTACCGTTATGTGTAGTTTGGTAAGCCGTATGAAATGTCATGTAGTCAGATGTGTAATGTAAAGCTCACACTAAAAATATGCTCTGTAATTGGTAAATTGCATTTTAAGTTAGTATTATGATCTACCAAACTACTCTTTACAGTTTTGAGTCTTTTGACCCCAGGGAGAAAAAACAACTGGAGTGCGTCTTTGGCCAAACTTTGTGTGGTAATACCTGCGGCACTTAGAACACACACTCTCATTAAACCAATAATTACTCGTATGACAAACAATCACTGATTAACATGATAAATGCGTGGTGGGGGTACTAAGAAGATATTGGGAGTGTTTAGTCATACAATCACATGTATAGCTTCCTTTTAATACAGTTCCCTACCCCCCTCCTCGATAAGTGCAGATTAAGAAGGATGTGGGAAATAATGCTGGAGTCTCACAGACTTCAGCACCAAATCATTTCAGCCTCAAATTCCCCTGGAAACATGAAGATCTCCTTTATAAATTCCTCAGATTCACGCCGGGAAATCATAATCCACCTTGAAAATGAGCTAACATCTCTATCTTCAATCTTCACCAACTGGATAAGCGCTCAGAAAACATATGTGGAATCCATTAACACATGGCTCACAAAGTGTGTGCTTCTCGAAGAGAAATCTTCACGGAGACGAAGAAGAAGCGCGCCACCACTCAGAAAATACGGGCCGCCCGTTTATGTGATATGCGGTGTTTGGTTGGAGATGTTTGAGTCTTTGCCTACTAAAGACGTGGTTGATGCCATGGGAACCTTAGCCTCTGAAGTGACCCGTTTCTTACCGCCCAGCCGTGAGAAAACCCGAGAAAACCCTTCGGGGGACCATAGCATTACTGTGTCTTTTGATCGTTTCAATACAGGCTTGGCTGTTTTACTAGGGCAGTTAAGTAAATTTGCAGATTCTTCTTTGAAAATGTTCTCACATCTTCTGGAAGTTACACAAGATGCTAAAAGCAGCTATGCAGGATCAAAGTCGTGACAATAAGTGGGATGGAGTGTTCCCTTTCGAAGCTTGAGGTGTTACAGGGATACTACAACTCGCGATAGATATTACGAGGAAGAGACTTTAGGTCCCGTTTGGTACTCTAAATATATCAATTGATCATAAGTATAGAATGTATCATCTGATTTCTTTGACAGAAATGGAATTTACCATGACTATTTATTTATTTTATGAAATACTTGGCACGTTCGGTCAATATTAGCCAAATACCCTTGCCAAATTTGTACGGTACAATGAACACCTTTACAGTAATTAAATCTAAAAGTTTGAGTTTTTTCCCAAACTGGGGTAGTTGTAAAACTTATTTCCCAAACCAGGGTACTTTTATACTTATTTCCCAAATTAGGGTATTTTTTTGCCATGTCACCCTACCTACCACGTCACTTATGCCACATGTAACTAGTCATTCCATGTCATCAAATCTGAATGTGATTTGCTTAGTAAAAAAATAAATTTCACTAGTGGGAGTTGTACACACAACCTCCCACTTGTAATTGAAGGTAAGAACTGCTGGGCCACTATGCTCATTTGGATACTGCACTCATTTAAATGTATTTGACATATACCATAGTATAGATTTTAACATATATGAGATATGTAATTAAAAAAGTTATAATAACTCAACATAAAAAAATATTAAAAAACATTAGATTCTTAACGTAAAAAATTATATAATGAAAATATAAATGAATAAATGAATAATTAATTAATATCTATTTATTTGCTTAGTTATAACTTATAATAACATTTATTCGCTTATTCAAATATGAAAATATTTGCTTAACTTTTTTCAACACAACAATTAATAAATTAATAAATAATTAATATCCATTTATTTATTCATTAATATAATTATAGATTCATTTATTCATTTATTTATTTATTTATTTATTTATTTATTTATTTATTTATTTATTTATTTATAAATTGACTTGATTTCAATTTTTCATTATTTGTTTAGCTCAATTTCGAAGATTTTATTTGAACTTGAACATATAAAATACATTTTTTAATTACATATATCTATTTACGTTTCTATCATAATTTTTAATTGGATTTTTGTTTTTAAATTGAATATCTAAAATTAAAATTTAACATATTCTTTAATTATTTGAGAAAGAATTGATATATGTATGTACTGTTTTTATTCGAGCTAAAAAAATAATGAAAAATTAAAATAAAGTCAATTTATAAATAAATGAATGAATCTAAATGAATAAATAATGAATGTTGATTATTTATTCATTTATATTTTATTCATTTATGTATTTATTTATTCATTCATTTATACTTTTTTATTAATTTGATTATTTTCATGTATAAATCTAATATAAAATATTCTACAATTTTTTAGCTCAAATCCGAGCACTTTATTTGTACTCGAACAGATAAAAATTAATTTGTGAAATTTGAACTGAACCCAAGCCTTACTCGAGTCGAGCCCGAGCTCAGTTGAGACTGTATAAAGAACTTTTCCTAAATAAACTTTTAAAACTTTTTATGTTAAGAATATAATGTTTTTTAATAATTTTTGTGTTGAGTTATTATAACTTTTTTAATTACATATCTTATACTATGATAAAAAAAAATAGTTATCTTATACCACCTACGAGTATATGTTAAAATCTATAGTATGGTGTATTGGTGTATGTTAAATATTTTTAAATGAGAACACGAACCAAATGAGAATAGTAGACCAGTGGTTCTTGCCTTCATATACAAATGAGAGGGTGTGTGTTCGACTCTCACTAGTGAAATATTTTTTATGAAGCAAAACACACTCAGATTTGATGACATGGAATGATAAGCAACATGTGGCATGAGTGACGTGTCAGGTAGGGTGACATAGCAAAAAATATCCTAATTTGGAAAATAAGTTTAAAACTACCATAGTTTAGGAAATAAGTTTTCAAACTACTCTAGTTTGGGAAAAACTCCCTAAAAGTTTAGTTTCAAAGTCAAATAGATTGATCATTCTAAATGGGGGTGGGTATTTTGTTCTCACCAAAACAAATCTATTATTTCTTCCAAGTCACATTAATCCTTACTAGATTAAAATCGTGAAAAACTGAATAAAGTCAACAAAAGTAATAAAATCTTCACATATTGTTTTTGTTATTTTGTATCAGAAATAACAAATTCAAGTTGAATGAGAGCGAACTAATATGAATTGTGAATTGAACCTAATTAAAACAAATCGAATCGAATGAACTAAAAATCGACAAAAATTAAACTATAACCGAAATGTCCACCACCAACTCATTTTTTTTAAGTCCACCACTACCTCATTTTTTTTTACTCCGGGGGGTCTGGGGGGCTGGAGTAATAAGGGCTGAAAGTCTGAAACTCACTTCATTGAGTTTCGAACCCTTGTGTACCTAGCGGGTTTCGAACTCGAGACCTCCCACTAGGCACGATAACCCCACAACTAACTGGGCTGGAATACTTGGTTGCCCACCACTAACTCATTATTTACTATATACTACATATTTTAAGAGCATCCACATTCATGATACTTAAATAAACAGATCTTTCATGACACTTCGACTTTTTCAAAATAATCTCACACCTTCTAAATTATAACATTCATAATCTCAAAGTAGTCATATCTTTTGTGGGTCCTGCACTAGCTAATTAACTCTAGTTGCACAATAATTTTGAAATAATCTGGATTCATATTTCAATCCCACTCACTCAATTGATCTTGATAAATAATAATCTGACTATTTTATCAACTAATCATATCAAATAATCTCACTCACTCAATCATGATGTCACAAATAATTTGTCACATTATCAACTTAATCCTCTAATAATCCAATAGGGTGATGTATGTCGATCTGTTGATTTTTATTAATCATAACTAGAAAGAAACTATATATTTTATGAAGCAATAAAATGATGGAATAAATTAAGCTAGTTTACTATATACTCCGTATAAATAAAAGGCAACTAGCAATAATGGGTTAATTACCTAAATACAAGTAAAAAGGTAGTCAATAATCACAAATAGGACTACATTGTTTTTTAATTCACTAGCAAGACTAATTATGTATGTTTGGACAAATATACCGTTGTAGCTATTGAAATGTTTTAACTCCTAATAAAATCATAAAAATAATAAAAAATCAATAAATATTTATAAAATAAAAGTTTTGAAAAAACTATTCTTTTGAAAAAAAATTAAGAATTTTAAAGAAAATAAATAAAAAAACGTATAAAAAAAATTCACCACCACCTCTACCACCACCAGCACCACCACCTCCGTTCACGAGGAAAAATGCAACATGCTTTAGTAATGTCATATTAGTGACAATTTCAATGAAAATTTTGACATTATCAAAGAGTAATATGTCATTTTCTTGGTATTTTCAGGAAAAAATGGCATTTTTTACACCTGTAGAGGCGGTGGAAAAGACGTCCATATTTTTTTTTATGGATTTTTACTATTTTTATTAATTTTTTATTTTTAAATTTTTATTTTTATTTTATAAATATTTTTTTATTTTTTATCATTTTCCTATGATTTTTTATTATTTTTTACTATTTTATTATGGATTAAAACATTTCATTATGACTCTTGACTACCTTTTCTTCTATTTAAGGAGGGGTAAAAATGGAATGAAAAATACGTATGTCTCAAAATAGGAGAAATATGGTCCAATTTGGGAATAAAATTACAAGAAGTGTGATTTTGACCAAAATTTTACTCCTAATTTCTAAGGAATAGTATATACTCCGTACAAATTTCAAGTGGCCGGTGTCTCCATGCATATAGATATACTGATATATAAAGGCATCGAGCTAGCTAGCTATTACAGGGACTTATGATTGATTATTTTGTTATGGCTCTGTTCACATGGGTGTATTTTCGAATATAATCTTATAATAGTGATAGTGATAGTGATAGTGATAGTGATAGTGATAGTGATAGTGATAGTGATAGTGATAGTGATAGTGATAGTGATAGTGATAGTGATAGTGATAGTGATAGTGATAGTGATAGTGATAGTGATAGTGATAGTGATAGTGATAGTGATAGTGATAGTGATAGTGATAGTGATAGTGATAGTGATAGTGATAGTGATAGTGATAGTGATAGTGATAGTGATAGTGATAGTGATAGTAATAGTAATAGTAATAGTAACAACAACACGTGTTCTTCCTAGCTCACTTCTTAGTTTTGCTACAATGATATATATATATATACGAGACTAATAACTGGCATATTTTTAGCTCAAGTTCCATACTTCCATTACAAAAATCACAAATTTGCCCCCCATTATATTATGTAAATAAAGGAGTTGCCCCTATAAATAAATGACCCTGCGCCCAAACATAAACAAGGAAAAAACTTTCCCTGGCATTGTAGTGGAAGCTTGAATCGAAGAGATACAACGGGGAAAACTATCAAAAAAGCCCCTCTACTTTTAAAATATGGGAGTGTTTGTGATTGCTTCTACTTTAAAAAAGCGATTTTTTAAAGTGATTTTGGAGAAAGTACTTCATAGTAAAAGTTGATAGTGTTTGAGAAAAAAGTGATTCTGAAAAGTAAAAGTTAGTAGTGTTTGGTAAAATAAGTACTTTTTGTGTAATAGAAAAAGTGAAAAGCAGTTTAAAACACTCTTCCACCTGCTTCCAGCTTTTAGCTTTTAAGTGATTAATTTAAGCAGAAGCTGTCATTTGAAAACACCCTTGAACTCATTTTAAAGTGGCAATTCTCCCCTTTTGACCGGTAATGTATTGGTTAACCGGTTACTTGCACACATGGCGTCCCACGTGGCAGTTTTCAATTTTTTCCATTTTCTTTTTCTTTTCTCTTTCTTTTTTCCTTCTCCCGCTTTCTCCTACTCTCCAGTTCAAGCAACTCCCCCTTTCCCCTTCTTCCATTTCTTCCATCCACCCTTTCTTCTCCCCTTTTCTTCTTTCTTCTCCCAATTCCCATCCATCGGTCGTCGTCCAGTCCTTCACGTCGCCGGAGATTCGTGAGAAAAACCCACGTCGCCGGACTGCCGGAGTGTCGTACGCCTCCTTCTTGCAGATCGCTTGTCCCCTGCCCATGAGTCGATATCCTTAAAGTCAGTGAAGCTTCCGGGTCAGCGTCGGTGTTCTGTGAGACCTCCAGGCCAGCCATATCCAGATCCGATGGAGCCTCAATTCGGCCCCACCCCAGTCGATGGAAAAGAAGTAGGGAGCGGGAGTGAAGGCGGAGGAAGGTGAGGAGGGTGAAGTGAGGCCGGAGAAGTAGGGAAAGAAGAGAGTGAAAAAGAAAGAAAAAAATTGCAGGTTGTGCCGTGTGCGCAGGGAAGG